CCCCAAAACCCCAAAACCCCAAAACCCCAGAGGCCCAAAACCTAATTGATTGGGCTGAAAGTGAGATTTACAAAAACATTTGAACAGATTCATTGACTGAATTTAATCATGAAGGAGATCAGACCTTTTTCTCTGAAGAAGAACTATCTCAAGTAATCGATCTAGTTCAAGAAGAAGAAATCCAAGATGAAACTATGGTGAAGCCCTTCTTTTATAAATCAGCAATGACTGTCATGAAACTGATTCAATACTGTAGTCTTGGTAATACAAGATATTATGATTCAGTTATGGATCATTATAAGGACAAAAACATTGAGAATACACTCAAACTGCTTATCAGAGCAAAACAGCTTTGAGCTATTGAAGATATACTTATAAAATTACTAAAAGCCATTCATCGGAGAGAAGAGATATCTTCCAAAATAACTGGTAAGTATATTTACAACTTATAGCCATTCTGAAATGTAATGATGAAGAAAAAGTAGACCTTAACATTAAAAGGTATCTTTTTAGGATAATCTATAAGTTGATTACCTCAGAATCAACGTTTCTATTCAAGCTTACTCACAACATCCTCAAGTGGATCAAGGAGTTATCCCAAGAGTCTAAACTATTTGAGAAGATCCCATTTGTGTTCAATAATACCGTATATGACAAACATGTAAAGAATGAAGTTATTGCAATCAAGCGAATCATCAGTCTTAAATAACTTCAATGAATATTATTAAAAAATCCAAATTATAATTTCTTTCCAAATGCAAAAGTTCTATCACACTCGTCCATCTTCCTAACTACATCTAATCCCAACCTCTATCAGCACTATAAGAGGTGCAAACCGCACTACAACTCCCAAAAATGACCTAAAATCTACCAAAAATCCCCAATACTATCTCTAAATCCCTCACAAAGTCCCTGAGAACTAAATTTCAGACCCCAAATTACTCTCCCATAGGAATCCTAGCTGATGGCTAAAACTCGAAGGCTTAAAGTAGGACTGATACATAGCCCATCAGGTTCAGACTCCATACGAGTAGAAGAGGATCTGGGGAAGTAGGAATAAGGAATAACAGTACTGGTAATCCTTCCAGGGTATTTAATAGGCCATTACTTCTGGAAGAACAGGTTGTTTATACGACGAGAGGTGCCGATGCCACAGAGATTTGGAAAATAGAGTGTCTCATTTTGAATTTTAAGCCTATGCATAGATCTAGTGGTCAAAGAAAATTTAATCTAGGATAGTAATGGGTTAGATTTAGAATTGTACTGTAAAAGCCTTCAGATAGTTTGTAGTTAATTGATATATTGTTGAAGCTACTTTATGGATCCATTAGTTTATGAAGAGTTTCACGAAACTACTTAAAGATTTAGCTCCTTGAGCTGATCTTTCATAGAAGAGACCTGAGATTTTTGAAGAGTTTAGAATATTTATTCAGGTGGTGGGTGAAAGTAACATTTCGGATCACAATTTTTAAAATCCAACAAAGCATATGCCAAGATTTAGGGAATAATATCTCAAATAACATTGAAGTAGTAATATAGAATGACTTCTTATCAGGGTGTGCTGGTGTACATCAAGATAAAAAATTTATAGATTAACAATGAGAGCCTTTTAATTAATTTCAAGCTAAATAAATCATAAAGGGGTTTTGGGGTTTTGGGGTTTTGGGG